GGGGGGGGGGGAGACTCCAAGCAGATCAATGACTGCAGAAACTCTGACCAACTGGCTGGAGTTTGGTGCTGACCTGCTTTGTGATGAGGCGGGACAGAATGTTCATGACAAAACCGCCCAGTCGGGGATACATGGTGAGGGACTGGATGACAGTGCGCATAAGCAGCATGGGGAGGGGACTCTGCTCCATCAGCTGCTGCATCACCACCGCCAAAACCTCAGATGTGTACACGTTCTTCTCCCCAAAGCACAGGTTGGTCGCTGCAGTCAAGACATGGACAGCGTGTTGCTTATTACTAGCTGTAGTACTACTGTATGTAACAGACACTGATCAATGAACTGTTGATTGACTGATAAAGGTCATCTGTGTCCTGTCAACCATAATTTCATGGGCCTGATTACAGGCTTACCTTTTATGATAGACTTCATATCACATTTGGTTGAGTCTATGTTGTGTAGGGCAATGAGCAGGTCTCCTGGGGTGAGAGGGGAAACAGATGAGCTCCCCTCACCTGAAAACACAAAACAGTCCGAATACATCAGTGTCCTTCACCTGAAGGAATCGACAGAAAGAGGCAATTCAGGCTTTGAGTGTCCACAAAGGTTGAGTGACGTCATTTTCTTTATATTCCCAGGTCCATGAGGGCCCGCAGGGACTCTGTGTGGACATCAACGTGCAGGCCAAACAAAAGCACCCACTGTGCATGTGCCACAATGCTTGGAAACCATCGGCACATGCGGACAGAAGGCAGACCCTCAATCTGGATAATTAATAGGAACGCATGTGCGCACGAGGGTATGCACAAAGCATCAACTCCCCTTAAATCTTGCCAATTAAATGAAGCGTATTTATAACATAAGAAATAAGAAGAATACTAACAAAACTATGATGTATATTCTATTCAAAAATAATCTAAAAGCTTTTAATAAAACGTGTAAATGTGTAGGGTTCATAATGTAAAAAAAGAAAGGAAGGCAGCAGAACATCCACCTGTGGAAAACATGAATTACTTACTGTGCTGGGTTCCCAGCAGACGGTTGAACACCTCCTTTACCACAATGGGGTTGAGTTTGATCAGCTTGGGAAGCGCCAGGATGACTTCATTCTGTGTGAGGACATAAAGCAAAATGGAAAGTGAAATCCAGTGAGGGAAGAACGGAGTGTACGGCTCGTTAGGCTGTGGTAGCAGAAATGCACCATAACTACACCAAAGATGTGCCAAATACAAAGGCAAAAGCTTTAAGATTGTTAGTGCACATACCAAACTTACAAATCAACACATTAGCCTGGGCATATAAAGGTCTGCCATCAGTCAAATAATCAGTAATACCAAACGGGTTACTAAAGGAATAGTACGTAAAATAACATATAGGGAAGGATGATTTTCTGTCCTCTTTACTTCTAAATATCACCATATTACCGTTTTGGGCATTAAATAGAATATTTTGATCAATACCACGCTGAGAACACACTTTTAATAACAGCTGCAACTCAATGCTGTATGGATAAAATAATGTACACAGTACGATAAACACATTACTGAAGCCAGTCTCCAATAAATCACTCCCACTATGTGCACCTGCCTGTACTAGACTACTGAACATTACCTTTTCTAGGCCATTAATGACCGGGATCAGGAAGCGAACATCTGGTACTCGTTTGTGGTACAGGTCTCGCACTCTCTCCACCAGCTCTGGGGACGGAGGCACTGAGCAGAGCAAACCAACACTGAGTTTGGACATCAACACTATTCAATTTGACTTTCTTCTACTGTGCATCAGAAATAGGTGTTTATCTCATTCCTATGTCAATTATTTCAAAAGCAGTTGTTTTTTCCTTCTTGGCTACATTTTGTTCTGACTGTCCAAAATCCTCCCGCGACCTGTTGTGTTGGCTTTTTACCTTTATCTGTCAGAATGTGCAGACAGCGAGTCACTAGAGTTTCTGCTCCTTTCGGACAGTTTTCCACCAGAAGCAGCAGCTCAGGAGAGTTCATTCCCATTCCACGGATCTAGAAGAACAGCAAAAGCAGCTCAGTAGTAATAGTATTCAAAGACAACAGGTGCATCAAGTATCTTTCTTGGAAGAAGTCTTTGTTCAACATTTTGGGAACACTAACAATTCTCTCCCAAATCACAAAACTGCTGTTTTTATATGACAAGTAGAGGTTGTTTACTTCACTTCAGTTTGTTTTCTTTGAACAGAAACAGAAGAAGTTGCACTGCAGTTTGCTCCAGTTTACCTTCTCATGCAGTTGAAAGCACATGAAGACACTTGTAAACATATAGTCTAACAGTCCAGCCTTTGCCCTCAGCTGATGCTTAGAATCAGAGAAAAACATAGTTCTCCTTATACCCAGAGAACCTTGTGTTTTAGGGTTTATTTCTGGTTTTGGATTTTATCTTGACACAATTCTTTAGTGTCACCTGAGTGTAAATGTCAGTTTCCATCTAAGCAGCATTAAACCTGCTTGGTAGGAACTCAGACTTGGTTCTACTGAGGACGAACTGTCTCAGAGGTATAAAATCAACAACTTCAACACATGGCAGAGAGAGAGAGAGAGAGAGAGAACGTACAGGCTGTTCTATTGCTCGGAGCACGCTGCGCTTGATGTCGGCGATGGCCTCGGTGTAGACAGAAGCCAGCTCGTGGAACAGCCGGTGGGTCAGGGG